ATTCACGATTCCACGTTTAATTGTAATTTTGATATAGTTAAAAAGAGATTCATCGAAATTTTGTAGCTTAGCTTTCTGTGTAACATGTTCATTCAGAGTTTTGTGGTGGTCTGAGAATTGGTTTTTATCATTAACATATTTTTTTGGTCTGTGGGTTTTATTTTAGGTTCAAAGCCTCGACTGATGGATGCTAAGATTAAGACAATGAGTCTTACTGTGGTGAATCAACTGGAGTTTCAGTGAGTTATCACATTCTTTATTCAATGAACATGTATATCTATATATCCTTGAGGAGTAATAAGTTATGAGTTTGTTGGGTTTTCCTTAGATAGACGAAAGATTGAAGTTATCATGTTTTTTTTGATCTGTGTAGTTTGTCAAGAAAACGAGACGGAACAACGACTGAACCAGTGTATCTTTCTGTATCACTGAAGAGGCAGATCAAAGAATGTAGCTCTTCCATCTGCATCACAAGAGACTTGTGGTAGATTAAATGTGGAAGGCATGGACCTTCAAAGAACTTCTAGAGAACTAAAAAAATCATTGCAGGTTATGTAAAGTTTATCTTTCAAAGTACGAAGCAAGTTGATATTTCCTTTGTTTTAAGTATAGTATAAGGTTTATGAATATATATATATATATACTAGGTGATTTTCCCGTGCTCATGCACGGGCATGTATATTTATAAAATAAATATACAATAATAATTAATTGATATTTACTTTAATTTTTAAATTAATTTATAGTTTGTATGTCTAATTTATATTATAATATTCTATTACTTTAATTATATATATAATTTTATATATGTTATATTTAGTCTATTTTATTGTTTTTACAGTCGATTTAGTTATCATTTAGATATATTGGATTTTATCTATTTCTCTGAATTCAACTATAATCTTTTATATTTTAAATATATTAAAATTTTGATTAATTGTCTTATTTTCATTTATGCTGGTTGTTATTTTAGAAATATAAGTATATTTAGGAAGATTATATATAACTTAAGATTTTTTTGTGGTTGGAAGGAAAACAAATAAAAACTAAAGTGTCTGATTCTAAATTACATACATAAGTAACTAATGAATTTTTAGAAGTTTTTGAACACATATCAATATTTACAATAATTAAAATATTTTATAGATTTTAAATAAATTTATGCTTTAGATTGATAGGATGGTAAACTGAAATTTATTTTTAAATAATTTATGAATAAGGATTCTGATTTGGTTAAGTATTTTGATCATGGTTATATTAAGTTTCACAAACATAAAAACAGAAAAATCAAAATCAAAAGATTTATTAAGAAAACAGATAATTTTAACTATTAAAATATAATATATCTACCTCATTAAATTATATAGTGTTATGGTATTTTAAAATAATTGTAAGTATTTTTTGTTTTTATGTTTGTGAAACTTAATATAACCATAATCAAAATACTTAAGTAAATCATAATCCTTATTCTTAAAACATATAATTTTAACGATTAAAATATAATATATCAACCTCGTTAGATTATATAATGTTATGCTATTTTAAAATAATTGTAGTTACTTGATCAAAAGATGTTTATTATTAAATTTAATTTTAGTTTTATTTTTAGTATCTCTTAAAATAGTCTGTAAAAAGTGATTGTTTTTGAGAAATTATACTATATAAGTAAAATAGAATTTATATTTTTACTGTAATTGTAAGATATTATAGTAAAATAAATATACTAAAAAAATAATTTTAATAATACTAATTATAAAAAATGTCAATTAAACATATATCAGTTTATTTTAGTTGATTATCTTATGTAATCATCTAATAAAATAGACAGATATATAGAAAAAAATTATTTTGAAGATATATATATTTTACTGTTTAATTTTTTTTTTTAATATTTCTTTTTCTAATAGCAATGTTTTTTGTGTGAAATCTTTATATAAATTTACATTATATACAGATATTATTTTCTATCTAAGAAGATATAGATATAAAGTATTTTATTACTTCAAAGGTATATTTTATGTTATTTAAAATAGATTTAAATTAAATATTACTATTTTGTGAACTTTCCTTTTTTATTAAACCATATTATATATACTTATATTTCGTTTTTAAATAGTTTTATAAATTTTATAAATGTTTCCTTTTTATTTTATATTGTTATTTGAAAATTTTTAAAAAGGAAGTAATATTTAATTGTATTTTTAATTCATTAGGGGTATCATAGTAATCAACCAACGTGAGAGTTAACGTGAACGCGACACCTAAGAAAGTGACTTCTCAAATAATATTATATATATATATACTAGGTGATTTTTCCGTGCTCATGCACGGGTATAAATATTTATTAATTAAATATACTATAATAATTTATTACTATTTACTTTTAATTTTCAATTAATTTATAATTTGCATACATGATTTATATTAATAATATTATTTTACTTTAATTAAACATATTATTTTAGAAATATTATATCTAGTCAATTTTATTATTTTATAGTCGATTTTACTGTTATTATTTGGGTATATTAGATTACATTATTTTATCTGAATAACTATAATATTTTTTATTCTAAATATATTAAATTTTGATTAATTCTAGTATTTACTTTTAGGTTGTTTGTTGTCTCAGATGTCAATATATTTTAGAAAAGTTATTTATAACTTAAGATATATTATGCTTATAATGAAATATAAAATAATTTTGATTTCAAATTACATCAATCGATATAAAGATAATCTTTGAAGTCTC